CTCCTGCCTCATCCACCATATGTCTCTGTGGGAAAGGAACCTTTAGGTTGGAGTCATCTTCATGCACACAGCTTGTGTTCATTCCACTGCTATCAAAGCACTTTAGACCACGGAGAAAATGAAACCATAGCCACCCGTAAGTTACTGGATCTCAAGACCTGTAGTCAAAAGGGTCCAAATCAAGACTATGCAAGCAACTTCCTGAGTCCTGAGCAACTGCAATTCGATCACTTGTTCAATGAACCTTTCGTATGTAATATTCAACCCACACCTCACACCCTCATATAAGTTAGCAAGATACTTGAGAGCAACAGGAAACTGCTATCTTCAGTCACCTTGCTGGGGAAACCGAGAAAGCTGGGGATTGAACTACAGCTCCCACAAGGCAGGATGGCTGCCTGTGCCTGAAGCAGCAGGTCCCCCCTGAAGCCAATAACACAAGCTCCCACACTGACCTCTGCAAATCAATAGCTTGCACCCTGCAAGTCCCTACATATGTCTCCAAGATTAAGGTCCTGCTTACTTCACCATACACTTGCATTACCTGCAGCCCCTGCCTCTCCAGACACTGAATCTCAGTTCAATGCCAGGAGCAGAAAGGGCAGGCTGCTCGGATAGGGAAGGGAAGCCAGGAAGCAAGAGTTGCAGTAAGGCAGCGGCTTCGCTGACAAGGGTGCAGTCCTACAGGACTCAAGGAAGGTGGGCAGAGCAGATCTGGTGACAGTAACCAGGGTGTCCAATAGTCCAGTGATCACCCAGCAAGTCCCACTCTCCAAGTGGTGAGGCAGGTCGAAGGCCAAGCCAGAAAGTCAAATAAGTGTGTCGGGATCATTGTCAGCATCAGAGAGGTACAAGATCAGGTGTACCTCCAGCTTAGGTCAGGCAGAGACTAAGGGTGAGAGCCTGAGCTTAAAAGCAGCTCCTCAGCCAAAGAGGGGCAGGCTCTTGCTGAGGTTCCCCAAGGACAGACAGCTGCATCATCTAAGTTGGCCCTGACCCCAGAGAGCCAAACCCCCGGGAGGAGGGGAATGTACTCAGGGCCCTGACAACTTACTCCACTCTGGTTTACTTTGTCTCCTGAGACTTTGCAGTAAAGTAAGGTAGAAATTCATTTGCCAAATTGTAAAGCAAAGATTCAGAGAACAAAAGGTCGAAGGACTGGGAAATAAAAGGGTTGCAAGCAAAATAAAGCAAATACTGTACTATTGTACTCTAGTGCGTACATTGAACAAGACACAGATTGAGAGCTCCCACATCCACCATCCTTGCAGGGCGAGCCAAACTGGAAGGGTGAGGGTCCAGGTTGGACATGGTAACTCTACCACCACTCTACCTCCAGGGGCTTTCCCAATTTCTGTATCCTCTATCTGATCTTCCACGGTTTCTCACTGTCTAGTGGAAGTGCAGTTTCCATGGCTTCCACTTGAGGCTCAGACCTCTGCTGTTCACTGTTCAGTATGCTCCCCGGGCGTTTCTCCTTCCCCACACGCCTTCTCTGCGGGGAGCCACTCTATTCCATTTTATCGGGCTCCACCCCCCACTCGCATGTAGCTGGTATGTTCCCTTAACGTGCCTGGAGATACACCATCCAACACACTGGGTACATGAGAAATATTAATTGCACGTGCAGTCTGTAAAGGTGCTGGTCTCATTGCACTCTCAGCTGTTGACAGAGACCTCTGAGGACCTTGCTGGATACATGATCAGACACTGAGCTAAAAAAGAGTCTCAGGAGGAGATCTGCTCTCTCCCTTCTGTTTTGGGGGTGCTGGGTCATAGCTCTGTGTTTATCAGCCTCAGCACTTGGTCCTGAGTCTCACCAGTCTGGGCCCCGAGTACTGAATTCAAGTCCAGTCTCTGCAAGCAGTGCCCTTACACAATTGCAAAGCAGCCTGTCCCATCTCCTCCATCATGTCACCTCCCGAGTTGGCCCTCCTTCCTCAGTCTGCCTTTGCTTCCCACCCCTCCTCTTGTCTGTTTTCCACATCAGTACTGCTGAAGCTTCTTCCTCCTCTTCTTCTCTGTTCCTCGCTGCACGCATGTGAGCATGGAAAAGTCAGTTTGCCTGCATTTCTGGAGTCAGTAGGCAAGACTGGAAAGTGTCCTGATCAACACTTGACACTTTGGACACAGTGTCTATGCTGAAGATGGTACATGACCTGTCTGGTCAGCACAGAGGACCTGGCATAACTTCAAACTGCTCAGCACAGGCAGAGGCTTCCTGGGAGAAAACTGTTGGCCTCTAAAAACGTCCTTGCTTGGTACGTGCAAAATGGGATCCTCAGAGGCTGGTCATTTAGGAATAGTTGATCCCGCACTACTGGGCAGAAGAAGAAACATCCGGGTCAGCTCTCCTTCCTGCACTGTAAGCTGCTCCTCCAAGGTGGGGAGTCTGGAGCGTATTCCTGATACACAGGCTGTTGGCTAAGTAGAGGCCAATTAATTTTTGCTGTAGCTGTAACGGGAAAAGTTCAGTGTGAGACAGGCACACAGCATGGCAAACCACAACTGCATCAGTTAAAGTTTAATAACTGACTGGCAAATGAAAGCAGGTCTTTCTAATGGAAACTGCTATGCAACCTTAACTTTATGCCTCTACCTGCTCCACTTACGATCTCTACACAGAATCTAGCACAACAGGACTAAATCTAGTCACGGCCCCTAGGCATTCCTGCAATATAGCTGCTAAACATATTAAAGCAAGGGTAATGTTGCAAAATTATTTACTCAGTTTGGAAAATCTAGAGAATGGGCTGGCCGCGGCTGTGATGTCGTGTCGACAGAAGCTAGGCTCCTATCAGGCACAGGCTCTGCTATTGGGCTATACTCGTGAAGTGGTCCAGATGAAACAAACCTGGCTTGAGCCATCAGGCTCTGTAGGCACACTCAGCCTGGTGGGTAACAGCTAATGTGCAAGTCCTGCCCCAGCAGGCAACCTGGATGCAAGGACCACCCGGGCAGTTCCCGTCGGCCTCTGCAAATACAGCCTCACAGGCTTTCACCCCACTGTCGAGTTGCCCCATGTGATTCTGTCTTCAGCTTCCTACAGCAAAACCTGTCTGCAACAGCTGAGGAGACACCCTCTCATGCCTGGGGAGCATACTTTAGAACTAGCCCTGACAGAGCCATAGCTGGAGCAATAAGGATCCAGGATCCTCACTAATAGTAGAAAGAGCATTCCCAGGTGCATAGTTTTGCTGCTGACAAGATCTCAGAGCAGAAAAAGGCTACTTCCAAGGACCTGTCCCAAGCCAGGGTTTCTGAAATAGGCAAAGACTATAACTTAAAGAGAGGAAAACTCAGAGTGGTCCATCTTAGGACTTAAGGGCAGAGCAAGACCACATACCTGTCTTTTTGATAAGCCTTGCACAAAGCCAGCAGTAACAGTGGCCTGTCTTGTGTACCGACCTCTGTGGTTCAGCAGAGTGCCTAGAAGCAGCCCCCAAGCTGGGTCTTCCTGATCTGAAAACCGCTTCTTTTCCCAGACTGACAAGCAAAGGCTTTCTTCCCAGCCACAAAGGCCTCCTGGCAGGACCTACAGTGGCTCAGCTCCCAGTTGCCCCCTGGGCATACACATAGCACAGGAGCACAGCTCCTGCATGGTGTTAGCAAAGGAATACTTTCTGAGAGCAGGTGATTGAAGGCTGTTGGGTTTGCTAAGGGCACACAGGCCATCTAAGACACCAACCAGCTGTTTCAGCATGCCAGCAGCTGAGGCAGGCACCTCTGCACCATCTCCCCTTGCCCTTTAGCCCCAGGCCCAACAGGTGAGGCAGAAACCACAGGCAATGCACAGGCGAAGCACCCTCAACCTCACCAGCCAGCAGGTCTATCAAGCAAAAAGCACGCCATACCCCAGGCCTTGTCACAGGGTAGAGTGCATCTGCACCTGGAGGAGCTCAACTTTTCCTGGCACCTCTCCTGACTCCTGCACCCACACCTTGGGCAGACAGATTTCCTGCAAAGAGCACTTTAAAATGGTCTTATGGCTCATTAGCAACAGCGCTGACTTGACAGAGCTAGCTCAGCCCCCTGTGACTATCAGTTCCCTGGGATCCTTTGCATGCCACCTTGCCTCCCTGGCTGCCTTTCCACGTAAGCTTAGAGTGAGCCTCAATGGACCACAGCTTATCCAGCCACACTGGCCTTTGCCAGGCAAGCAGCTCAAGCTAAGGCAGGACCCAGAATGAATTCGTGCATGCTCTGTGGGCAGTGTGGACGTCTGCTACTTGGTTCCCCTGGGACAGGGGGTGAAGACACAGTGCTGGGAGCTTCACCACCTAAAGCTGGTACTAGACATGGCCCCAGCAGCAAATGTTGCTGGTCCCCCAGCCCCACTGGCAGATCCCCGAGACCCCATGCCCTGCAGGAACAGGCTGCTCAGCAGACACAGAGCCGTGAGCATGGGGATGGCAAATTGCCAAGGTAGCAGGCTCTGCAGGCAAGCTGCTGGCAGTGATTACACGTCTCAGGTAACATGTTGAACTTATCCTGCTCCAGCCTGCTTGAGGAGCAGCAACGCACAGAGTAAGTATACAGAGGCCAGCCTGATGGGACCGGTCACAGGTACCATTTCAGTTGGAAGCTGGGTTAAGGCCTTCAACCCACTCGCCCCACAGATGAGAGTTCAGCTTGGAAGATGGCACTGTTAACCAATTTGTCTGCACCTGGCAAGTGTCTCTCATTTTCGTTTCTTTACTCCTGGACAAGATAGGAGCCTTTCACACATCACTTTGAGGATTGTTCTGTTTAGGAGAGCTAACACCTTCTTAGCTCCTGGCTTTGGATCCTGCTCTGGGAGAGTGATATTAGCCAAACACCAGATAATTTGCTGGGCACCTAGGGCACAGGGCTGGCTTCTATTGGCAGCATCGTGGTACTGTCTCATTTCCATTCTGGCACTGGGTGCTGCTGAAAGTTCTTGGTTTCTTTTGGCTTGTGTTTGTACAGCAGACCAAGACTAGGCATTCTGGGCAACATTCCCAAAGCAATGCCCATACTTGGGCTGCAAAGCTGTCTTCAGTTCCTATCTGGATAAGGTCTTCTAGGAGCATAAACATGTTCACTCCGTCTAGCTTCTCAGCTGCAGCATGGCTGTTCCCCATGCTGATCAGAGACATTGTTCAGGAAGCATAACTGGCAGAAAGAGAGAGAAAGGGGAGAAGAGAGCAAGAGAAGGACAGAAAGAGCAAAAGAAAGCCAAGAGAGTGTGAGATCTCCGGAGGGAAACTATCACCAGAAAGTCATCAGTTTCATGAAAAGAAAACTGGTCAGGGCAGTGCAGAGTCCTCAGCAGGCAAGATGGGATGCAGTTTGTAAGATGGCATGCCTGGCACATTGTCAGCCCCCAGATGCAAGGAAGGGGCAAGGGGGCAGGGGTATCACTGCATAATGCATCCTTTGGAGGTTACGAAGGAGGCTTTGCAAGGGAGTGATGCCAGAGGACAAGTATGCCCAAGCGCTAGAGTTGTGCACATTGCCTTCAGCTAACATAGCCCTATCTGGCCCATGAGCAGATGGTCTCTCCCAGGGGCGAGGCCTGATACCTCTTGCACTTTTAGCCTAGAAGAAGACCTCTCCAAGTGCACTGCTCTGCCCCAGAAGTTATGTGGGCATGGCACTCTGGATGCTTTCATTCAGATGACATGCATCATCTGCAGGTCACTATGTGAACGTATGTTTCATGGCTATCTTCCAGAAACAAAGAGGCTATAAGAAAAGGTGGTGTTCTTAGAGTGCAGGATGCAGGATTCAGAGCAAAATGGTCTATGCAACACAATCTGCAATACAGGTTGGTACATGAATAATGCTGATATGCCTTTCTTCAGCTGGGAATATGGTACTGGCTTATCACAAGATGCAGTGGCCCTAATTTCTACACCACCATCATCTAGTGTGGACTCAGTGTATAAGAAAAGTACTGCTAGTCCTGGGCCCTGCATTATGAAGAAGAGGGCTCTCTTCATTCAGTCACAGCATCACAGAATCACAGACTGGTAGAGGCTTGAAGGGACCTCTGGAGGTCCTCTTGTCCAACCCCCCTGCTCAAGCAGGGTCACCTGCAGCCAGTTGCCCAGGACCATGTCCAGATGGCTTTTGAATATCTCCACAGAGGGAGATTCAACAAACTCTCTGGGCAACATGTGCCAGTGCTCAATCTCCCTCACAGTGAAAACGTGTTTCCTGATGTTCTGACAGAGCCTTCTGTGTGTTTCAGTTTGTGCCCATTACCTCTGGTTCTGTCACTGGGCACCACCGAAAACAGCCTGGCTCCATCTTCTTTGTGCCCTCCCTTCAGGTATTTACCTAAACTGATGATATCCCCTGAGCCTTCTCTTCTCCAGGCTGAACAGTCCCAGCTCTCTCAGCCTTTCCTCATAGGACAAATGCTCAGGTAATTTTTCCATGTTTATATACTGTTATTTTGTCACCACTCAGTTTTCTCTTCTTCAGAATATACAGCTCCAGGTCCTTGAGGTGCTTTCTGTTGGTTATTTCCTTGTCTTCTTACCATTCTTGATGTCCTCTGCTCCCACCACAGCCCACCCACTATGCTGTGGTCACCGCACCTCAGGAAGAGAAGACTCATGTAGCACTTCTTTACAGACCGGACTCTGATCTGTGCATGCCATGACAGCTATGCCTTTTCTGTGCAGCATGTGGCTGGTCATGGGCAGTACGTGGCATGTTTGTTCCTGCACTTCTCAGTTTGCACCATCTCTGGCAGGTCAGGTCTTACTAAGGCTTTTGCAGCTGAGTTCTGCAGGTTTGAGGAGAGAACCTGGCATTTGTCCTGCTTGCCTGAGCTGCAGCTGGGGCCACAACCCCAACCAGCACAGTGTCTTCTGCAGATTAAATAAGCCTAATGGCTACTCCTTCATGCAAGTCTTTTAACAACTCTAGAAGAGTGCCAGATGCAGGACAGACCTCCAGGTAACACCCTGTATGTCTCACTGTAGTTTGACTAGTGATAACTAACTCTGAATAGGGTTTTCTGACTAGTTATGCTCTCACCTAATAGTATAATTCACACTATATTGTCTTTTCACAATTTCATCCCGAGATTCTTATGTGAGAGAGCATGAAATTAAGACATTTAAGACACATAACATCTGCTCCTTCTGTCCCTTTACCACGGGTCTTTTGGCCAGATACAGAAGGAAGTAGGATTGGTCTGACCAACTTTGCATGTGTCCAGGCACTTACTTACAAATTGTTCAGTTACTTGCTGTAGTGTTTTCCAGGAATCAAAGTAAGGCTGGCCAGGCAGCCTTATTGGCCAGAATTCACAGGCTACTCTCCTATGAAGACAGGCTGAGAGGGTTGGGGTTGTTCAGCCTGGAGAAGAGAAGACTCTGGGGAAACCTTATAGCAGCCTTCCAGTACCTGAAGGGGACCTACAGGAAAGCTGAGGGACTTTTTACAAAGGCATGTAGTGATAGGACAAGGGTTAATGGCTTTAAACTGAAAGAGGGTAGATTTAGAGTAGATGTAAGGAAGAAGTTCTTCATGGTGAGGGTGGTGAAACACTGGAACAGGTTGCCCAGAGAGGTTGTGGATGCCCAATCCCTGGAAGTGTTCAAGGCCAGGCTGGATGGGGCTTTGAGCAACCTGGTCTAGTGGAAGGTGTCCCTGCCCATGGCAGGGGAGTTGGAACTAGACGATCCTTAAGGTGCCTTCCAACCCAAACCATTCAAGGATTCTATGATTCTACTATCAAACATGTGCTTGCATTTGGCCCAAGCCCATGTGGCCCAGAAGCCCAAGGGACAGCCTTGCAGCTAGAAGCATGAAGGTGGGTTGGACGGCACAGATGTGAGCAGCATTGCTGGCATCTGGTGATGAGCTGGAGGAATGGAGCAGGGGTTGACAGGCCCCAGAGAGTGCCTTTGTACAAAAGGGATGTGCTCCCCCAGGTTTTACCTGCAGAGCATGGTACCTCAGGAGCATCAGCATCTGCTGCAGAGCATCTGGATGGAAAAAGAAGTGCGGGAAGCATTTGGAGTCATGCTCCTAACTGTGAAGTACCAGAAGCACTCAGCACCAGGAGAGCTGCTGTAGGGCCAAACCAGCTACTGGAGTGAGTCCAGCAGAGCTCTGCATGGGACTGCTCAAAGAAGAGCTGTGTTGCTGCGTGGGGTTGCAGCTTGGGGCAAACACGGAGGCTCCTACTGCCATCAGTCAGAAATCCTTGGAGTGCCTCCTCAGGCGGGATCACTGCAAGTGCCATGGGGCAGCGCCGTGTGGTCCTCATGTGCTGGCAGACTGGTGAGAGGAGGGAGTTTGCCTTTGTGTGTCACATCCAGCCCCGAGGTCCTTTGGCAATCCACAAACACTGCCCAGTCCCACAGGGTGAAACATGCTCAGTGCTTCCAAATGGCTGAAGTCTCCAAGCTAAGGTTCGTAAGGGAAATTGAGTAGGAGCAAATATTTAAATAAAATTATAAAGTAGCATCACCATTTATTTCAGAATGTCTTTTTCAGAAACCAGCACAGGCAGCAAATTCAGAGCAAGGAAGCTGATAGAGCCAATACAAACCAGCAGTTACAAAATGAAGGAAACTAAGGGGAAGTCAGAGATATCAATGAAGTATCAATGAAGTGAGCAGCACTCTTAAGGGAAACATGAAACTGTTTCATTACCCTGGGGCCAAACACAGTCCCAGTGGTGACAGAGACTAGTGGTAGACCAGTGTGGAAGAGGGACAAGACTATGGATCATAGATCTGTAATTAAGCAGTCTGATCTCTTTGGGACTTGGCCTGAGCACCATGCAGGATTAATTCTGGTCTGGGCTAGGGCAGCTCTTCTGGTGATTTTTAAAAAAGCCAGAGATGAGAAATCTTCATGCAACATGATAAGCTATTCTAAGATGCAATTAACTAGTAGATTAATTGCCCTTGCTATTAAAAATGTGTCTCATTTCTAATACGTGTTTGCCCAGCTTCAATTTCCAGCCACTGGATCTAGTTTTAACTCTAAGTGCCACTCAGAAGAACTGGCAATGCTGAATAAACTCTGCAGTCTGCCCCTCGGAAGGCTTGGTAAGGCACAGCTGAGGACCAGCAATAGATGTCAGCATGGCGACGGAGGGTGAGTTTAGCCCGCCTGCCCACAGTGCTTCGCAGAAGAGTGCTATCAACCCTTCCTGCCCTGTAAATCTGGAACCAAGAACTGGCAACTACAACTGCACATGAGGCTCCCAGGATCAACCATGGTGTGTCCAACCGCCGCCCCTCCGAAGTTCCCACTGGCAGGAATCCCTGGCAATCCATAACTCACTTATGGCTCTTCTCTGAACCCTCTCCAATTTCTCAATTTTTTTGAAATGTTGACCCCAGAGCAGGATGCCCCAGCAGCAGAGAATCCAAAGAATTGCAGTCACTGGGCACCTGCTCCAGGTTTCTGTGTGTAAACGTATGTTCTGCATAATGAAAACCAAGAACTCAATAAATATTTCTGCTCTGTATTTGAAACAACAATTGATAATATTTGGATTTTACGGTGGTAATGAAATACTTTCTATTCCATCAGTAATTAAGGAAGATGCTAGAGAGAAACTGTTGAAGTAACAAATTTTATAATCTGCAGGATGATAAATTACATCCAAGAGTATTTATTTGGCTAATGAGTCCACTGAACCATTGATTTTTTTCTTTATAACAAATCATGGCACATTGGGGAACTTAAGATAACTGGGGGTAAAAAAAAAATTCCAATGTCTTGCCAGTATTTAAATGTGCTCACATGGATATCCAAGAAACTACCACGCAGTTAGTTCAACATACATCCCAAGCAATCACCGACAAGCAGCCAAAGGATGTCCTGAGTAAATTAGTAAAAGCTAGAACCCAAATTAATGTCATTCAAATTAATGTCATTTGAAAGAGGGACTTTCAAATAATTTTATGTAACTTTTTTGTAAGCCTACAAGTTTTATAGAGCTAACTAGATAGATATGGCATGCTTAGACTCCTGTAAGTCATTTGACTTAGTTCTGCATGACATTCTAATAAGAAAAATTAGCTGTATGCTACAGTCAGTGTGATCAGTATTAACAGATTTGAAAGAACTGGGTAACTGAGAAGACTTATTCTATATAGCCATTTGACAGATGTATTTCTAGTTGTATTCTATTCACATATCAATGCTATATGTTATTAGCAATCAAGGAGAAAATAAAACAATTGCTAGTAAAATTACTGGGGTGGATAAAAATTAATTGTTGGGATGGTAAAAGTAACAGGTGGCACTTGCCCAAGACAACCTAATCTGGATTGCTTGAAACACCAGACTTACGAAAAACCTGGTTTGTTACATCTAACTATAAGGTGCAACATATAGGAAAGAAGAATTTGGGCTTCATTTTAAAATAGGTACAGCATCCTGGATAGTAATGAGTCTGAAAAAAGTTTAAAGGTTGCAACATATGCCATCTGAACACAAAACACACTGAATGGGAGGGCATTGCTGCCAAGGCCATCCTCCTCCTGGACTGTGTAAATAATCAAGTAATGTCAAATATGAATCTAAGGTTCCTGAGGCATTTGTGTAGATCTGACATCCACATGGCTAACAATAACTCTTACACAATCATAGCACAACCATATTTTGAATGTTGTGCACAGTTGTACTCCCTTCATCTCAAAGTGGTGCACTAGGATCAGTAAAGGGACAGGGAAAGCCAGTGCTCGTGGTTAAGGGTTGGGTGACAGCTTCCACAGAGGGAATGACACAGTTGAATAGAATTCCAGCCTGAGTAAGGAGAGAAATGACAGGGATCTATATAGTTCTGAATAATGGAGAGGGACAGACTATGGTTACCCACATACTCTTAGAATACAAGAGTTAAAGGGCATCAAATGAACCAAGAAGGTGGCAGCATAAAGACAAATGAAAGCAGGTGATCAACACAATGTACAATTAAGTTGTCCTTGCCACAAGGATACCAGAATGCTCAAACATACATGGGTCCAAAAAGTGACTGGTCAAATTTATGGAAAAGAAAAAAAGAAAATCTCTATACAACTGCTAAATACAAAGATGCCCTTTTGACTCAAAAGTACCTGAAACGCAGTTTACAGAACTTGGGGGTGGGGATGGACATCCAAGGGAAGGGCTTTTCTATACTTGTTTTGTTCTTGTACCCTTCTATAAGTACTACTGTGATTTACTAGTCCACCCATTATGGCATGTCATGCTTTTTGCTGAGGAACAGGAAAGATCAAGTAAGGGTTGGGCAGATATTCGAGGCTGGGAAGCCTACAGGGAGATACTGATGCAGTTGATCTTTCAGTTAAAGGAAGAGGATACTAGGAATAGGCAATGCTTTGACTGCACAGAGAGGGTCAGAGTAAGACCCAGTGGTTGCAGCTAGGATGGAAACTTCTGTCTAGGTATGGGATGAATTTTTTTTTTCCCTGAGCGCATCACTTGGGCAGCTGCACTAAGAACATGGCAGTGAACTCGCATTACTTCAGCTAGTCATGAGGGTGTCTCTTGCTGACTGCTCTGCCAAAAAACCCAGGTGGATGCTGAAGCAGGAACAACAGCATGCGCCCAAGAGACATTCCCAGTGAACCTGGGACACAGTAGCAATCAGCAGCTGCCTGTGCCTGTGGCGGTTGGTAAAAACACATCAGAACCACATGCCCCTGTGCTAATAATGTCACATGCTTGCTGTCCTCGGTTTGAGACCATAGCCCTCACACTCAGGACAGCTAAATTTTCCTGGCAAAACTCCTGTCCCAGAAAGTACATTCAATGCTGCATTAGAAATTTCCCCTTTAGAAATCTGAGAAAAAGTAGCACAGCTTGTTATATTGCCAAAATGTGCTCTGGAACATCAAACCTTTTAAATTCTGTTCTGTTCTTGTAAATGTTTTTAAAAATCAGTTGCTAATCAATTAGCATAACTGAGTTAAACTCAGAGCATTTGTTCTCAGCCTGCACTTAGCTTGAACTTTTCTGATTGTTTCAGTTCTGAAAAAAGGCTTGAGTGGCCAAAAGCTTTTCTGGTGGGTTTTGTTTGGTTTGGTTTGGTTTTCCCCCCCAGTTAAATCAGTCAATCTGTAAAAGATACTCCCCTTTTCCTACTAGCCTCACACTCCTTGAAAATGGTTACTCAGTGGTTTCGTTACACATAATGAAATCATACCCTTTTAATTTCAGTGGGAACATAGATGAAGATTTGTGCCCAGGGCTTGCTTGCCCCTCTCAGCCACCTGCCTGACCTCCGCGCTCCCACTTACGCTGGGATCCCCTGCCTGCAAACCTGGCAGCTCTGAAAGGAACCCTGGAAATTCACCTGCAGTCCTAGCACGGGTCCTTCATTGCAACAGGTGCCTGTCTACACCAGGACACTTTTGTCCAAAGAGGAATTGGCAGTGCCAGAAGTTGGCCTGCCCGTGTGTGCAGCAGCACTGCACGCTCCTGCGTTTGCAGAAAAAAAACACTGCAGGTTTACCTCTTTCAAGCCAAGCTGCCCTCATCACCCAAATGATGAAGGGCAGATTTCAGAACTAGCAAAAGTAATCAGCAAGACCTGAGGCATGGCTTTAAGTCTAACAGCTGCAAGAAACAATTCCAAAATAAAGCAAAGCATTAAATTCAATCCTTCCCTGTCCTTCGGGTGATATTATCTTAGTAGCTGAGTACACATTACTGAACATACATTATTGCAGGTATATGGACAGTGCTGGAAAGGAGGAGGACTGATAAACCAGCTCCACATGTGCTGCTCTGCAGAGTGCCTTCATACCAAAGATACCCATTCAGGCTAAGGCAATCCTGGACTGCACTGCCACCAAAAGGGACAGACTCTCCTTTTTCTGCTACTCCTCCAGTCACAGACATGATCTGGATAAAAGTGAACACTCTAACGTGGTGATTAGAATTGGGGAATAAGACTACAGGACCTGATCCCATAAACAGATCACCCTGAACAGACATGAGAGCTCAGCTAGCAGGAAGGTGGTGACTTCAGGCTGGGTTCCTGCACTGGTTCAGGGGAAATGCACTACTGATCCGTGGTAAGAGTGCAGGCCATTATCCAGGTATTTTAAAAGCTTTGACTCCCCTGCTCCCTTCATCCCTGTTTTGCAGATAGGCTCGACAAGTCATATCGAGCCAACACCTCACCTCTCTGCCCATGGATGTCATAAAGCACACTGTGAAACCTTTTTGAGATATACCATCTCTATACTGCAACAGTAGTACCTCCACACACAGGCTGCCAGAACTGGTTTCCTGATACCTTTTGTAAGCCTGCAACATGTAAACACATTCCTGTTGTATCCTATTAGCATTCATGCTGTGGTGCATCACTGGTGTGCGTGCATTAGGAATGGCACACTGAACCTCACATAGTTATTTCAAGCCTGCTACCCCAGAGCAGCATGCTCTAGCTGTGTAAGGTGGTGATAATTACGGTAGCAGAGCTACACCCTGTATCCCAACAGAGGCAGAAAAAGACAGAAGTGTTGGGCCTGTCAAACTGCTTAGCCTTCAGATCTGTGCATTCCAGTGTCCTGGTGCTGATGTTGACGTTAACAGAGGCCTTGAAACACCAGTCTACCAAGAGGAGCAACCTGCAGTGCTGCCCTAGTGTACCTGCTGCCAGCCAGCAGCAGTTCAGGTACTCCTTGAGTCAGAACAGGAATGGACTTAGCTTACTGCAAATCTTTAAATGGTGGGTAGTGCTTTGATTTCTTTACAACTGTGTCTTTAAATTGCAGGAACAAACGTTACCCTTTACCTTGTCTAGAGTGCAGTGCAGCCCCGGCAGCAGCGCGTGGACCTGTCTACCAGACTGTGCTCTGGTAGGTGCTGGCTGGGCTGTCATAGGGGCTGGCTGCTCTGTGCCCAGGGGACCGGCGTTCTCATGGCATGCTTCCTCCTCACCCCACTGAAGCCCTCAGTGCTGGCACAAGCACTGCTGTCCTGCCCCAAGCTGCAAAGCCAGGCAACCCTGGACATTGTACCTGCATGGGAAGTGTTTGTTTGGGAGGCCTCAGCCCCACACCCACCACACATTTCCCTATGCCTTCTGAGAGGCAGATGGCTGTGTAGGTCTGAGAGTGTACATGCCACTACGCATGGCATGTCACATGGATGAGCTCTGTCAGGATAGTCTTCAAGGCAAGGCAGAAGTTGTACTCTGGTAGGTATAGAGAAAGACTAGGGTTTATTCCAAACACCTTTGGGTACAAACTGTAAACAACATGACTAAAGACAGGATCCCAACAAATGCCCAGGGCCCCAGAGCTGCCTGGTTCAGGTTAGACTTTGTAGATTTGGGATAGGGAGACTGATACCGTACAACTAAAAGCGCGATCAATGCAGTGTATTTGCTCTTTGTCACACAAAATGCCCTAATGCCCATATCTTGCTTTTCTTAGTGAGTCTGGAGTTTGTCCTGATTAGTACGGGTAAACAGAATGCTCCAAAATACGTGCATGAGGCAGAGCACAAGGCTGGGACAAGGACACAGCGACAGGTTTGGCACAGAGGCTGACATGGCTGGCAGGAGGTGTGCGAGGGGAAGGGGTTAGCTGGGAAGGCATAGGCTGCACTGGCAGGGATGGAACATCTGCACAGAAAGGCACAGTAGGACTGGAACCGCAGCCCTTAGTAGAGAACGTCCTCGAAGCTGAGCAGCAGGAAACGGTGCAAGGCACTTGGCAGGTGCAGCTGAGACAGGACCAGAAGCAACCGGCCCTCCAGGAAGGTCCTGAGTGCGTAGCGAGCCAGGTGCTGCAAGGAGCGAGGTCTTTGCTCCAGGGAGAAAAGTGACTGGTAGAAACGTGGGTATTTCTACAGAGAGAAAAGAGAGGACCAGAGGCAGATAAAGCTGAAGATATCACTCTGGGAGATCCCTTTACCTTAGTCACTACGGTACATCCTCCCTATCCCCCAACAGCACCACCCCTGTGCCCTGCAAATCTCCTCGCAGCCCTGTCCTGCCCCAAACCCCCCTCAGATCCAAGCCTCCTCTGGTACCCTGCCGCGGTAGCCCAGCTGCACGTTCTCCAGCCGGCAGCATGCATTCCCTCACCTGTACAACCTCCGCGGGAACCGCTTCCACCCAGTCCTCAGAGATGCGGACATGATCATAGCTGTTCATCAGCGCCTCAATGACACGCGGGCAGGCGTGGCAGTACCGCAGCACCTGCGCCAGGGAAAAAGCAGATGAACACTGCCTTTGCACAAGGTCCTGCAAGCCCCACCCTCACCTCCTAAAAAGCTGCTCAAAACCAGCCTTGGTAAATCTAGGGAACTAATGTCCTTCCCTCATGCTGTCCCCGGAGATCAAACCCACTACATGGTGGGAAATGCCAGAGCACCACTCCTGCAAAAGAGGGTGACTGAGCCAACACCCAGCACGCACAGCACAGTTGCATTCAGCACAAATGGGTCCCCACAGCCGCTGCTCAGATGCAGGAACTAACATACTTGGCTGGGATGCAGATCTCCTTCATCTGCCTCACTGCTGCAAGTAGCTCATATGCAACCAACACTCTGCTTTATGCCAGGCTCCTTTCCCTGCATTTTTCTAGTTAGAGCATGAGCCATTCTGGGGCAAGGACTGACACCCATTTTGTGTGCAGCAAGCCTAAGGCATACCATGCCTCTGTTGAGGGCTACACAGGGGTCTCAGGGACGTACTGTGCCTGTTTGGCATGGGGCTGCAGAGACATCCCGCATCCGTGCTGTGTGCAATGGGTGTCCTAAGAAGTACTGTGCCTGTGTTAGCTGCTACACAGAGCCCCAGGAAGACATCGTACCTATTTTGTGCAACACACCTCTGGTGTGTACCATGTCCACATAGGTGCAAATGACACACTGGTGCTGCGTATCTTACACCACCAGTGTGGCCTTTGGAGCACACCCCACCCACGCATAGCTGCACAGAGGCAGATCCCCCCCGGCTCTTGGCTCCCACTCCCTACGGCCCAGGCCAGCAGTAGCTGTCAGAGTCTATTCCGGCTGTAGGAGTGATCCTCATTATCTGGCGTTAATAGGAGATTAATTAGTGTTAATTGTTGATTTTCCTGTATTTTCCCAAAGGGGAGAGCAATCTGCTGATCTCCGGGCTGGGTAATTATTGCACTGCTCAGGAATTAAGACAGGAAATTAACCCTTTGTTTGCTGGTGTCTTGCAGAGAGAGCATGAGCTGGAGGGTATGTCCCAAAGAGGAAACACATCCCCTGAGAGGAAAAGGGCCAACGCTTTCCAGGGCAAGTGATTATGGAAACTGGGTAAGTACTGTCCACACAGCTTAACAGACAGAAGCAGGAGAGCAGGAGAACATAGCCCAGGAGAAAACTTCAGGGAATCCCTTACCAGTAACACCAATTCCCCCTCCCCCAGCCCCTGGGAAGAGAGAGGCAGGACAGCAAGCAGGCTGGCACAGAACAAGCCCTGCTGTGACAGAAACATCCCTGCTCTCACTGGGGCCCTGATGGTCACAGCCTTCCCTTCCCACCATGCTCCCAGCACAGCTGTGAGCCCCACACCTTGAGGAGGGAGCCAGGCCAGATGCGGATGGCACCGTAGTTGAGCAGGGCTCGCACCACAAGCTCTGGGTGGTGCTCCAGCTTGTAGGCAGTTGCTTGCAGGATATTGTGCAGTGCCGTGTTGCCGCTGTAGTTCATGATGTTGACATTTGCACCCCGGGCCAGCAGTAACTCTGCTACTTGAGCATTGGCATTCTTGCAGGCCAGGTGAAGTGGGTGCTGACGGTCCCTATCTGCAGCATTGATGCTAGCACCACTTTCCACCAGCAGCTGGCAGACCCGGTAGTAACGGTCCATGTCCTGGGGTTGGTGGGGCTGAGCACAGGCAGCATTCAGCGGCGTCTGCCCCTCCTCATTCTTTGCCTCCAGCTCTGCGCCATAGCGCAGAAGCAGCTGGACGTGGTCTGTTAGGCCATGTCGTGCTGCTATATGCAGTGCTGTGTCATCTTCCTCCTCAGTCCGACTGTTCACACTGGCGCCATGCTGCAGCAGCTGCTGGATGCACCTATGTGGGCCAAGATGATTCAGTGACAGGCTCTCCTCTCTGGCTCCTACCCTTCCTCCCACCCCACATGTCTGTACCATCCCATGGCTTTCACTTTTCCCAAGAGTCCAAAAATCTCTGCTCCTCATGCCCTGGAGCAGTGGTTTTAAGCCAGGATGACTGGTGAGCAGAGATATGCCATCCTAATTCTAGCTAACTCACTGCAGATCTTTAACAATGTGTCGTCACACCCAGAGTCTGCTCCCACACCCCACAGAGGCCTGTTGTGGCCTGAGCTTCGCAGTGTGAACCATCAGCCCTGCATTGCTGGTGGGTAGCAAGACAGCCAGCACCAAGTTCAGCTGCATCAGCTGAGGACTAGAGCTTGCAGTCATCTGTTGGACTTCAGAGGTAATCCTGGTCCAGGAACAGGCAGTAAGGCCACCCCATTCAGCAGCCATTGCTGCAACCACCAGCCCACCTGCAGGGATGAGTAGGGACGCCTTCTACATAGGATGAGGCTCAAGGGGGAGGGAGGCCTACTGTGTCCCCTGGGCAGAACTCACTCGATGGAGTCTCGGCTCTTGCAGAGGTGCAGGGGCTTGTAGCCATCCTCAGAGACAGCCTCAGGGTCAGCACCAAAGCTGAGCAGCAGGCGCACACACTCTGTGCTGGGTGCTGCACAAGCCTCATGCAGGGCAGTCTTACCCCCTGGTGCAAAGTTGACGGCAGCTCCCCTGAGCAGCAGGAGCCGCAGGCAGTCTGTGTAGCCCCGGCTGGCTGTGATGTGCAGAGGCGTGGTGAGCTCCTGCTCATAGTTCAGAGACCACAGTCCTGCAGGGAAAGAGAGGTCAGGGAGCCGCATACAGCCACAGTGCACAAAAGCATTGGGCCCAGACCTGCCCTTTCCCCTGGGGTACCTGTTGTACATCCCCCCTTGAGAGACTCGAGTTTCCCTTCAAGGGACTGCCTCTTCCCTTCTCTACAAGGTCCCTGCCTTTGGACTGGCCTGCCAAAGGCAAAGATCTGGGGGTGACTCTTACACTGCACAGCCATGCTGACGAGAAGCTCGAAGGAGCAGGAGCCTTGGGGTAGAGGCTGTTCCCAGAAAGTGTACTTTTCACCTGCAGCTCAGTCATGCAGCACAGGGTTTCCGCTGACAGGAGTACAGCAGATGAAGGGCCTGGGGCACAGGCAGGGCTGAAAGCAGCAAGGTGGCTGGGAAGGGCACCATGCATGAAGCACCACAAAGACAAGGAGCCAGGCAGTAAAACAAAGAGGTGCTGGAGCAGGCTGCCACGCACACAGGAGATTCAGACAAGCCCTGAGCATGGTGCAGACAAGCAAGCTTCAGCAGAGATGGACATCTAGGGCCTAGGAGAGGGCAAGGGGCTGAAACCTGCCAACTCTCAAAGATGCTGACCCAGCTGGAACCATTGCTGAACCGGTGCAGTCTGCTGGCAAACAGCCTGCAGCTGTTACAGGAAAAGAGCTGCTTAAATCATGCTTCTTGCTGCCCCATCCAGGCTGGGCTGGAGGACCACATCCCAGTCTGCGTGACATGTTCAACACTACATCCTTCTCACCTCTTTCTCGCAGATGCAGCATGCAGTCAACCGTGTTTCCCAGGGCCAGGTTCAAACCGAACCATCCTGAGGACCTAACGCAGGGCTGTGACAATTCGTTGCCCAGCACAACCCACAGAGGGAACCAGCAGCGCAGCACAGGCTGCACACAGACAGAACAGGCACGCAGAGTCAGGCTACTGGGCCAGTCGCAGAAGGAATACGACCTGGAGCTTGAATCTCCTTTGCCCATTGTGGGAACCCAAGCAGTTTCCAAGCATTTGCACAACCCCTGCTAGAAGGGCCGGGTACCCCAGACGCACCTCATGCTCCCAGACACACGCACACCCTCCCACAAGCGGCACAGGGGAACCCAACCCCATCCCAGAGCTCTCACTGCCATCCTGACTCCTCTGTAACCCAAACAGCACCCGTAACACACAGTCCCAGAAATAGTAATGCCCTGCAGCGTAAGCAAAAGGCTCCAAGCCCCCGTCCGGCTGGGCCACGCTGCCTGCCCGCTGCCCCCCTGCGTACTCAGCCGGCGGAGGTTGAAGCGGTAGTTTTTCCACTCTTCCAGGTCACTGGTGTCAAACACGGCATTGGGACTCAGGTTGTTCTGAGGGTCGCTGAGGATCTCGGCCACAGTCCCCCGATCCCCAGTCAGCAGGGCCTGCCAGTAGACCTGGGCAGGGCCATCTGCCTTCCGCGTGCAAATGGGCTCCTGACTCTTGCCTCCTCTGCCGGTGATGCTACCCATGAGGCAGCACCCAGACCCTCCACAGAAATGAGGGCAGGACCTGCTGCTGCCTTCCCGGCCAGGCTCTGAGCCTGCAGGCACAGCCCCACCAGTGCCCGGTGCTCTGGCTGACAGGCTGCCTGTCAGCCCTGGGCCGCTCCCCAGGGAGGGAGGACATGTCACATCACCATTTGGCCCAGGCTGGGCACGGCTTGGGTCTCAGCTGTTCTATTCTGGGAAACCTTGTGACCAAATATTTGGGCCAAGAGGCTGATAAGGTCACTCCTCTTGGGCAGCAGTATCTCTGCAGTCACTGGCTGTGAAGGGGAAGTCCCTAGGCAGCGCAGGGTAGCAGAGTAGCCTGAAGGGCAGAAACAGAGACGGGACATCACTACGAAAACAGGGAGGGAAGTAGTCTCATGCCCAACTAGCCTGCTGTCACCCAGTTGCTGCCCAGACCGCAACAGCGCAACCCAGCTGCCTCCATACACCAGCAGCACGCCTTTGTCCAGCCCTTGGCTCCACGCACACCTCCAGCACTGCACACCCATTTGCTAGTTCCACCCAAGCCCTTGGCACTAGACAGGTTTTTAAACAAGCCACAGGAAAGTTCTTTTTAATCAAAGCTTAAAGCCAAAGGACAGGTAGAAATAAGTACAAGGATGGAAAACTGTGCATTACAAGTGAAGTAAAACCATAGAAGGTAATTATCCGTTAGACCCCTTCCTGCTTTTCCTTGAAATTCAGCCTTGCAGAGAGCTCCTGCATGGTTTTAGTACTCCCTTTCCCATCCTCTGACAGTCCCCTCACTCAGGGTTCCTCACTGCTGTCCTTTCACCTGAGATGGCATTTTCCCCTGTCCCCACGTAGTAGTATAAACCTACCCTGCCCCTACTTTGGTTACAGAACAGCGCCCTTTGCTCACAGTTCATCAGCATTGCATGCATTTTGTTCAGACCATATGTTCTAAAGAACACATCAAACTGCATGGAAGACTAACAGTGTTTAGTTTAATTTTGTGGCGTGGAACTATTCAAATCATGCAGCTGAAAACAAGTTAAGTGACCCCAATAGACCACCAAGCAACAAATACCTGGGGGACCAGAGAAGAGTGTAAGATAGGGAACTTTACCCTTCTCAGTAATGAAAATAAATGACCAAGTTCTATACTGACAGTCTCCAGCACGCTCTGTCTGTGCAGACTTCACCACCTTGTCTAGCCAAAGTGTAGTACGTGAAAGGGTAAAGAGAGGGAAGCACTTAGCAGGCTTTCTCACCTGATGGGATCCTCTATTTCCCCAAAGATATAAGCAGGCATCCCACGAGAGCCTGAGGTTCCCAATCACAAAAGCATCACCAGGGAGGCAAAAGGCTGTGTGAGTTAGTGTCGGTAACACCAAACAATTTACACTTCCTCTGGGCTTCTTAAAATGTCAATAGGGATGACTTGGGAAAAAATCAGGTCACTAGAATCTACTTTTAAGGTCACTGGCTAGGTAAACTTTAAGAAACTGTCCCTACAGGCCAGTGAGATACATAACCAAAGCCTTAGGTAGCATGAAGTTTTGCTTTGGTTTCTGTTCCATACTCTTGTCTGATAAATTTGGCAGTACATTTTTGGTCTGTGCTTGATGAATGATCTTGTTTGGTTGGGTATTTCACATCTTGAGACTTTGGTGAGAAGAGCAATTTCTGTGTGAAGTTGTTGCTTTTACATCAGCTGTTCTGTTTTCTTTGGGGCACAAATCTTTACAAGCAGACTGACTTGCTGTTCAAGTGTCAGTCAGCTCAGCATAAGACAGGAGTTAAAATGTACAATTAATATTTTACTGACAAGTGGTCCCAGTTACACAAAGGGTAATACCTTTTGTATTTTTATTCCTAAGTAGACTAAAAATTCAAAACCTGGGTTGCACAAATCTTGGAACTCAGTAAATATTCACTACCCACAAGTAGTAGCACTTGCATCTGCAAGCCCACCCTAGCTGTTTGTCTCTTGCTAGTGTGGATCGCTACAAAACACTCAGTCACGGTCAGGCTTTATCACTGTGCTCCACAGCTTTGCACCAGCACACTTGAAAAGAACCCACACCTCTGGGAAAGTGGCCTTCAGCAGCAGCTCTTCCACTCTGGCACAGGGGGGCTTTTGCCATCAACCTTCTGTGGAAAAGAGTGGTGCAGTTATGGCCCCTCCACACCCGACACTCCCTGTCTTAAATTCTGGGAGCCTGCCTGCACCACACTACTAACAGACAGCAGCAAGGACAAGCGCACTTCCAGATTGCTAAGCACATCTCACCCTTTAACACATCAGCTACGCTGCTTACTGAAACGTTCATAGATGACACTGATAAGAAGGTAAGCAAAAGGGACCAAAGAGTGTGGAAGAACGTGTGCTAGCCACAAGATGCATCTGGGCAAGGTACAGTGAGGTATACAGATGGGAGGAAACCCAAGGATGACCATCTTCTACTTCCTGTCACTCAGGACAAGCTTAATTCCACCATCTCTCTGGCAGACTAGATTTCTGCTCGCCTTGCCCAATCCATCTCACAGAATAGAACAGTTTGCTGGGTGCAAACCCCACACACGCAAGAAAGCAAAACACCAAATGCTTTTGTTCTGGAGCAAAGACTTCCTCCAGCTGATCACTGTTAACCCTCCCACATCAACCTCCCTGCAGCTTCTCAAAGTCAGTGTTTGGAGCAGGGATCGTAATGGGTCTGCTTCACATCTGGATTTCACTACAGCACCAGGTAGATATGGAGCAATTGTGGCTTTGTCCCCAGACAGCTGCCTACAAGGCTGAAGCACAGCCATGCCTCTTCCTCGGGATATGGGCTAAGGTCTGCCTGAAGGGCACTGCTAAGATCTCTCTGCTGTTCCCAAAGCATGTCACAGCCTCCGGTTTCTGATGAACTGGAGTAACAGATGCAACTTAAGACATAAGGCAGGAAAAGCATCCTTATGCTACCTGATGCCTTCTCACCCAAGCACTCTCTCCACCTCAGACATATTTCACATCTATCCCAGCAATCTCTAACAGGGCAGTCCTGATGTTGTTCCTCTCCAGCAGCCCCTCCAAGGGCCCTATTCTCACCATTTCCCAGTAGATCTGCCTCTGGCCACCTTCACCAAGCCTGCTACCATTTGTTCTACAGCCCCAGAATCCTCCTTCCTCATCCAAAAGTCTTTCTTCCTAAGTCCCTCTTCCACCACCCTGTCTCCACCACTGGGGATTCCTCTCAAGACTTTTCTCAAGAGTCTGTGCTATTTCTCTAGTCCCCATCCTGGGCACTTTCCATCCCCCCATGTCCCAGCCCTGCACACCCACCAAATTTCCTGCTAGTCCAGCGCAGCTCATCACCCTTGGTCTCAATGACGAGATTGATGGCTGCGCTCTTGGTGAAGTACTTCCGCACCATCTCCAGGTCCCCAGTGAAGAGCGCATTCTGGACCAGCAGATCCCGGCACTCCAGTGGCTCCAAGCGGCTGTTTTGGCATCCCTGGCTAACTGGGCTCAGGCTGCGCTCACTGTGGTGGTACCGAGACCTTATATGCCGAGAGTACTTCTGCTCATCCAGCTGCTCCTCATCCAGCTGCAGCAAGCGCTGTGTGGCAGAGCTGAAGGGAAAGGTGCAGTCCATCACAGGGAACAAACAGGACAAGCCCGAACCTTACAGCAAACAAGCTGCTGCAGGCAAGAGCCTCTTATCCAAGGCTATGTCCTTTGCAGGTTGCTCCTGGGTTCCAGCTCCCCAGTGTCTGGCTGGATTCAGGCACAGGCCTGACTCACACAGTATAAATAGTCCTGCTTGGCAGCTCCCCTTCACCACCTCCCCTCCTTCCAAGAGCTTATTTTCAGCTGCTGGATACAATCATCAGCACAGATTAGGCATGGGAGAGAGGTAGCAGGCAGCTTTGAAACACTCTCTATTGTGCTTGCTTGTGCGCACCGCAAAGTCTCTCTGCTCTGCACCATGCTCCCACTTGGAAAGAAACAGAGCGAGGCAGGGGCAATCACACTGGGGGGTAATTAGGGAAAGGCCTGCAGCAGAAGTGGTGTCAGAAATCATAAGGGACTGAGTACAGAGGCCTTCCCCACAGGCAACGCCACAGGGACCAAAAAAACTCTCACAAGCCCCACACACTGCTCTTGAGAACCCAGCATCTTCACTAGGGCAGCAAGATTGGCTGCCTAGACACAGCTGAGCAGAATAAAGGAGGGCAGGTGGGCAAGCCCTTGGAAAAACAGCTTGTATAACATGAACCAAGTTTCCTGGCAATAAGGAAGACAGTCTCCCACACAAACCTCAAGACGTTGGCAAGCATCTTCAGGCTTCTGAGGGGGGTATGCTCAGCTATGCTATCCACCTCTCCAGCCATCGCGAGTCACATCTGGAGGGGTGAAAGATGCTGAAGCCCCCTGCCCTGCCCCAGTTATCACCGCTCACTCTGCAGGATGTAGAGTGGATCTCACCAGCTAGGACATTGTGGTAGGTTGACATAGGTTTGGGACCTGTTAAACTTTGTTTACTCTCAAATTACTCTCCTGTAACTAACCTGTTAATTGCTGTGTCCCTGCCAACATGAGAACCTTCCAGCTGGGCAGGCTGTGAGTGCCAGCAATGGCAGCAGGGACTCATCAGCTGCTGTGGGAATTTCAGCTGGTATTCTCTACCCAATCTGTAACTGAGAGTGTTTGGGGTCAGTGGGGTGACATAGTAGAGACCTGCAAGAGTGCCTGAGGGCTAACAGGGGTAGCTGTGCACCCAAGACCACATGCCTCTACCTGGAACGGCTGCACTGACCCACTGACTTTCTCCTGGACCATGCTGTCCCACTGGACAAGGTTTTGTCAGAAGCCATCACGTTGGCCCACCTGACTTATCTCCTGGACTGCACCATCTATTCTGCAAAACAGGCAAGTTGTGTCACTTGTTAAGATTAAATATAAATGTGACTAGAAGGATTTTTGAGGTTTGGGTGGGTTTTTTTGGTTGGTTTTTTTTAGGGCTGAGGGTTCTTTTGGGGGGGGAGGGTTGTTGTTGAGTTTCTTTGTTGGGGGGGCAGGAGGGAGAGTTGTTTGGGTTTTATTTTGGTGGTTGTTTGTTTGTTTTTAAATCTGAGCCCATTTAGTCTTTACCCTGTCAACTTGGTTCCAAACTGTGACAGAGTTCTTTCTAGTGTGGCTGTAGGTGTTGATCAGACAGGGAGCTAGGCTTTGCTTGTGTTCTTTTTGCTGGGTGTTTCCAGTGCAGAGAAAAGGACTATGTAAGAACTGGGAAGCCACAAAGGGTCCATGAACAAGTCCCAGGTCTGCTGGCTGCCTTCAAGAGCTGCCAGACATGTTCCCCATTGCCCCTGCACAGATACTCTATGCCCATGACCAGTTTGTAGCATCTCACTGGTGGTGCAGCACTGGGGTCACAGGCACACTTGTTCTCCAGAAGGATGCAGTAGCCGTATCTCCAGCCCCACTTTGGAATCAGTGTTCAAGCTTAACAAAGTGACTGCCCAGGCACAGGTGTAAGAGGAGGGCACGTCTAGATAGAAAACACTGACCAGAAGGATCTGATGATCCTCAGAAGGGGCTCTGGGCCTGCCTTGCCGCCCTCATTTGTTGCAGGGTCTGCTTAGGAGTCAGGCAGAAGAGGCACTCGGTGGTTCCTCCCTGTGCTCCTCTTCCCTGTCCCATTTCTACAGCAAGACCAGCAAAGAGCTGACAGGTCCAAGAGCTCCCAGACTGATGTAGACACTATGGCAGTAGATGCCACTACTGTAAGGATTTTCATATAAGCTCTGGCTCTCCCTCCAGACACAACCACAGTCCAAACACACATATAGAGACCTCTCCAGCCTCACTCACGTGGTGAGCTTCACCATGCTCACACACCACAGAACCCCATCACAAGTATATCTGTACACACATACCCAGTGGCTTTTTCTTCTGTACACACACCCCTCCCAAACCCTCTTCCCACTCAGTGGTTTGTCCCCCTTCTGTACACAGACAGTAGCCAAAACTGACAAACAGCTGTCCTCGCCCAAGACAGCAAGTACAGAGCTCATCAGAACTATTTATTATCTTTATTTCCTTCCCCCCCATGCTCCTTCCCCCCTTCTTGTCTTTCCCTTGTGCCTCCTTCACTTCTGCAGTCTCTTGCACTGCCTGGAGCCATCTTTTACCCAGCACTCTCTTCACTTACCAGTCCTGCAGAGAGAGCAAGTATGCAGGGGGTAAAAAAGGCTGCAAAGGAGGGTGATAGCAAAGAAGATAGAAACGGGTTTGGGGCAGGAGGAAGGGCTAGCCATTTGTCTGAAGCACAAAGGAAATGGGACAAATCAGGCTGAAACCAACTGGAGAAGAGTCAAGCAGGAGAAGGCAGAGGGGAGAGGCTGAATTACCTGCAGACTCCACCAGTCTCCCCTCCCTGTAGATGGGACGCACCTTGATCAGCAGCTGCAGGAGCTCACATACTTCCACTGCATGCTCCTTGGACAGCTGCAGGATGTGACACTATCAGCAGCAATGCACACAGCTTGCACTATGTGGCCTTGGCTGTAGCCATCTGACACCTTGACCAGGGTCCTAATGCCCAAGCTGCCGGTAAGAACATCCCACTCGCTTTTGGATCAGTCACTGCCAGGTCTCTGAACAAAGCAGAGAGCCCATGAGAAGACACCATGGCAGGAGGGGTGGAGAAAGCATGACAAATAGCCAGTCTCCTCTGGCCAGATGAGGGGCTGAGCACAACAGGCCCAACTTGGGGAACTTGGATACAGAGAAGGCTGGATTCTTTTAGGGATGAGGAAAAGGATAAACTAAGGAGAACTCTTAGTTTCTCTCCAACCTGTCTTTCCACCTCCTACTGCTCCTGTCACTGTAACCAAGGCCATCATCCTTCCCCCAGCCATGGGCTTGGGCACAGAATCCAAAACTTCACGCACAGTACTGTTCATGCACCCTATAAACATCCAGGAAAGGCATCTAGGAGAAACACCCTGACTGCTGGGCTGAGGCCAGGTCCCTAGTCATCACACCCAGAATGCTGGCAGAGGGCAGGCAGTGCTTTCGCACTCAGGCGGTTTCACAGACCTTGGGCTGAGTGGGTGTGCGTTTCTGCCTTTGCACCAGCTACCCTGGAGATTTCCTCCTATTCCCAAGGCTAACAACAAAAATACCAAAACCACCCCACCACAAAAAAAACCAAACCAAAAAACACCACCAAAAACCCCACCAAAAACGAACAACAAAACACAAAACCACCAAAACACAAAAACCACAAAGCACAACCAACCACACACACATACACACACCCCCTCCTCCCAGCAGAGCCTTTCTTTCATGTTTGATAGAGCTCTGGCATCTGCCCTGGCCCCACAGCAAAAGAGGTCCTTTACTTGCTCTGCCTGACAGGTCACAGGAGGGAAGTCAGGACCATCTGTCCCCTCAGCACTGTCATCTGGCAGGAGTTGTCCAGCTACTGGCACAAAGCTTTACCTTCAAATCCAGTTTACTGAACCCACTCACTGCACAATCCATAGTGGGCTGCATAGTCTGCGTGAGGAAAAAAAGCAGGCTCCTCCTCACTGGTTTTGTATAATACCTTCAGATCAGGTGCACAAGGGCCTGTCTGATGCACAGATCAGCAGCACCCAATCCTCTGGCCTCAGTGATTTCAGGGCATTTAGCAAGTCCTTCCTCAGATCCTTTGGATCTGTCTGTGAGGAAAAAGAGGGTCCTCAAAGGTCAGAGTGAAGGGGATCAGGTGCAATCGCATGACCCAAGGCTGACCAGAGGGAAGAAGATGCACATCCTTGGGAAAAAAAAAAAAAAAAAAGTGTTGCAATTTTTTTCAGCTGTCTGCTTCTAAACATTGTTGCTCTTACTGCAGAAGATTTGTTTTCTCTCTTGCTAAATCATCGATTTGTTTTATGATTACACCTGCCTTGTGTCTGGAGACAAGTTGAATGGAGTAAAATCAGAAATGTTACAGTGTATTTCTTGTATGATATAACAGGTCATGAGAGACATGTTGGAACATCTCAGAGACATTAGAGGAGTTCAGAGGATCAAGTCCTGTCTGCAGGTTTGCATGGGGTCAGAGGCTGACAGTCATTGGCTTTTGGAAAAGCACTCCCTAGAGCACACACAGGCAATCACCCCCAACCCACCTACCCCCTCTAGACGTGGGGACCACCCACTGTTGGTACACCTCCAGACATCACACCTTCCCCACAAGAAGCAGTAACTAAGGACAGAGCAAGGAGAACAAGGTTGAGTGGATAACTCATCTATCTCCCCATGCGAGAGATGTTAAAACAAAACTGAGGTAACCAGCCCCACAGCAGCTACCCAAATTGGTATAAAGAGACAAGGTGGGAATGTGTCCACGATGTGGGACAGAACAAGGGTGTTGGAACTGGAATCTCTAGCCCAACAGTAATGTAAGTGTATCCATTTACACATGCTCATGTGCATGACAAAGCATGTCTGACCCCAGAAGACAGACTTAGGGAGAGTACCTTGTTACTCACAAAGTCATCTGTGTAAACTACAAGCCTAAAGATGTAGCATACGGCCCTATCAGGTCAGAGGCTACCCAGGAAACCATGATTTTATGCAGATATTAGCTGCTGATAT